TTTGCTTTCCATGTGCAAGATTTTTAAAAGAAATATTTTGTCTTCCACCTCTTCTCATCTCGGCAAGGAACAATTTTGGGTTCCAAAACTGTTTGTTTTTTCTTTCTATAATTCCAACTTGTTCTTAAACTCGTGCTTACTGTGTTATTTGCTCTGTAAAGTTCTTCCTCTACCGTTTGCACAATTACGTATTCTCATTTGTATTCACTAGCTATGTGCCCGCATTGCCTTTTTCCCTGTAACAGCTGCGTATCTGAGACTCGAAGCCATGTTTCACTCATCACTGAGCCTCTAATGACAAGAAAACAAACTCAATAGCCATGAAGTACACTTATGAATACACAAGTTTCTCTTTGAAAATGTACAATGAAAAAGTTCCTCTATCGTACATGTGTGTATGTGTGTGGTTTTCATATGGAATAATGACACAAATCATTGTAAATACTCATACTATTGCTTCCACGTAAAGTCCAAAGGAAGGTATCACAAGTCCTACTTGGTCATCCTTACCCGTATTGTAGTGATACAGGATTCCAAATTGCACTGTGAGATAGACTGAAGACCAGGAAACATGAACAGTCCTCTGGATAGAGTTGCAGATATACATATAGCCATACTTTAAATTTTTAAATGTGGATTCTGGGGATTTGAACTCATGGTCTGGTAGTTTCATTGCAATTGCTTTTACCCAGTGAGTGATATCCCTAATCCTTTATTGTATGTGTTATTATAAACCAAGTAACAAACTAATTTCTCACTGGGATCACGATGGCACATTTTTTAAACATTGGTCATTAAGACATGGTGATAGATATAAGACTAACAGCTAATAAATTCAGAAAGGATGATTCAATTTCTAAAATCATTACTTTGTGGCACAAAGTAGTTGATAAAGGCAAAAATCCATCAATGGGTGGTACACTTTTTTTTGGAGGAGTCCTTGTGAGTATAATAATTCAATTGAGCTCCAAAAAAATTTCTGGAGAGATTGCTTACCAATTACAAAATGTAAGCTATGTCCTTATTATGAGGATACTCAGTAGCGTCCACTGTAATCAAATGGACAAAGCAACCATGGCCAGTAGGAAGAGAATGTAACATTGTCATTTCCTGTAGGGCATTCATACCACCCATGGGAGAAATGCCTATTGCCAATCTCAAAATAGGCACATTAGTTGCTTTTCTGTTGCTGTTATAAAACACCATGACCAGCAGAGGCTTATGGGTCCAGAGGGAGATTCATAATGATTTAGGAGGCAGGCAGCTGGAACAGGAAGCTCAAAGATCTCATCTTTGATATCAACAAGAAACAGAGAAAGCAGACTGCAAAGTAGGGTAAGATCATAAACTCTCAACGCCCACCTCCTACCCTTGGTGATATACTTCCACTAGCATGGCTCGACCAAACGAATCATCCCAAACAACATTGCCAACAGGGAGCTATGCATTTAAATATGTGAGCCTACAGGGAACGTTTCTCCTTCAAACCACCACCATGTGCATCAAACAAATGGATGAGTGACTTTGCCTTAACCTTCAACTGTCATTTAAAACTACAAACAAAAACAACATAAAAAGGCAAAAGGCAAATGTTCTAGATTAAAAGTGACTACAGAAGCAGAATCATCAAAGACAATGAATCTCAAAAAGTGTTATACACAAATGAGAATGCACTAAAATGTCAACATTTGATAATATGATCATATTGGGGAAAAATAAATCATCTGGATGCCAATAATGACTTGCTTCTACGGGCAACTACAACAGAAACAGAAATAGATCAACAGAGGAAGAATAAAGTTTGTGAGATTAACAATCAACCATTGTTAAGTGTTTACAAGGTGGACATTCATGCTTTTTGATACTATTTCAGGTAAATTGAGAGCAAAAAGAACCATAGAAATGAGTTGTCTCTCAGAATTCACATGCACTTGATAATTCTTTTAGAAGAAGATTCTAGAATAGCCTAGTTTGTGAACTTTTCTATCTCACGGCTTTTCCTCAGAGTGAGAGGCTCTTTCCAGAATCCCTGATGAGAGCTGTGCTGTGGTTCTTAATCTCTTACTGAGTTAGCATGCACAGCAGACATTCAAAATGCTAAATAAATGAGTTTTAAATTGACATTTTAAACATTCAAAACATCTTGAAAAGGCACTCTGCTGAAAAAATGATTAATATCTTTCATAGCTTAATATTAATTATTACTCTTGCACTGTGTAATGCTGATTTTGCCCAATTTTCTGCCATTCTGCAATGGAACTTGGAGCTAAAAGTTACTCATGGCTTTTTTTATTTTATTTTTTAAAGGTAATTATTGCTTTGTCTCATGAGGAACTTGTCAAGTGGATAGTTGTATTAACTCAGGACATTGTGGCAGAAAAAAATCCAGAACACATTTTGCCACCTCTTACAACATCTGTACATTAATTTCTGAACCCAATTTCACATTGGCATGGCCTTAGAGTTCCTAACATGTTTAAACTAAGGAAGTCTCATATTTTGAGTTTCATTAGCTTCCTTTTGATATTTCTAAACATGGATGTCAAGGTTATATTGTAGTTGATTTATTGTAGAAGACATCAAATTTAACATAATTCCTTGGTGTGTTTTATTAGACTATACCAAGAAATAACAAGGAGGAGTTGCCATCTTCCTACACATTTTAATTAGTTCTTTCTGTCCCAAAGTTCAGGGGATGTCTTGCAATGACATCCTGAAAAACTCATCAAAGCAATTGGTGATATTGTAATAAATACATTGCAAACACCAACTTAAAAAAAATGTCTATGAAAGTCAAGTGATAGTTAAGCTTTTCATGAGGCTTATTTTTGATACAACAGATTAGGGCAATCATCTTCACACAGACACAGAACCACTTCTCCCGTGTCAAGAACCTGTTCTAAGGTACACAGCTAATTATTTTTTCTCAAAGTTACCAAGGAGGAATGCACTGTAGCTTGCTGCTTCCTCAAGAACTGGCAGCCTTGCTGACATGACAAGAATTGAAGATGAGGAGAGTCTCACTGTGTCAACTAAAATTAATTCATACTGTAAGGAAGAAGTATTTGAATGATATTCAGAACTGCTTTCAACAAATCCTCAGAGGGCCGCATGCTCATGAGAAACTTTTGTCAGAGAGCAGTTGGCAATTTTATTCCAATTCCCTGTATCACTACTTTAAAAAAATCATCTTGAAAGTACAATGCATTTGCTTTGGTAAGTTTGTGTGGCTAAAATAATTTCAGTTTCCTTTCTGTGTGTTTTCTCCAGGTAGGGAAAGACATGGATGGGAGGTGCGAGAGATAGTCAAATGCATGAGGTTATTATACTGCAATCCTACACAATAAAAATAGTTTAATCAAATGAATACAACTCTCTTCCTTTAAACATACAGGGACATAACTGTTTAATAAGGCTCTTCAGATGCAGAAGCTGTTGTAATTTAAGCAAAGTAGCGCTGGTTGCATAATTAATGTGACTATTCTAGCTTAGAAAACAGTATTTTTATTATAAAGCTCATTTTCTTTCCCCTGTTTTAGGGATTTTTCCCCCTACATGCATCATATGTTGCACATTGAACCTGTGGTGAATAGATTCATTTGGATGGGCATATTTTTATCTGTCAGGGTTTATATTTTTAGATAGTCCATTGGAATACATAACAAGCAGCACAGTGAGCGAGGAAATCATCGGAGGCCTAGTTCAACCCCTTATTTTTAGTGAGGTCTGCAAGCATATGTGCTATAAAGTGAGAATGAACTCTTTTGCAGCAAACAGATTGCTATGTACATCAGATACTACAGAATTCCAAGCAAGAGTCATAATCTTTGCCCTTCAGCCAGTAAAAGTGATCCCTTCTTCCTCGCAGAGTTCTGCAATTCTTTTGACTTCAGTAAATAACAAAACAATTTTCTTTCAGAAGAAGCAGCATCTATAGAAACTTGCGGTGGATTTGGCCCTCCCATCCCATGCTTGTTGGCACAGTGAGCTAGAACAGGTGAGGAACAATGGCCATTCCTTACATACTACTGGCAAAGGTGTTGAGATGAAACTCTGATAAATCAGTAGTACAACTCAAGAGAGATTTTACAGACCATCTTTGTCTTTTGCCCTACACAGACCTGGAGGTGATTGATGGGTCTTAATTTGTCTTCCCCAAAGTCAGGTGTTGAAACTTAAGGGTTAGTATCACTATAGTGAGACATGGGACCATCAGTGAATCCTTCCATCTTGTAGGCAACATTGAGTTCCTCATTGAAGAAGTCTCAAGGCACTTGTCTCTTTGCTCTTTTACCTCTGCCTTTTGAGGATAAGGAATTCTTTCTCTGGGATTATGCAAGAAGAAATGACAGTCACAGAAGTTGGGACAAGCCTTGACCAGACTAGCAAACCCATTAGCTCTTTGGACTTTAACTTTCCAGTCTCCTGCCCTGTGAATTACCTCCTGTCTACATTACTCATCCTGAAGAATTCTTTGTGTTTTCTTGAATAAGAGCAGACACACTGTGTGTTGGGTCTTTGAACCATTGAAAGGAAGATATCTGCACCACTTATCAATCATGAAATAGCCTAGTTAACCAATTAGTTTACAAGGAACACACTATCAGCAGAATAACCATTTTGTAGTATTTTACCTATACATTTGTGTGTGAGACAGAGGAGAGAAAGAGAGAGAGAGAGAGAGAGAGAGAGAGAGAGAGAGAGAGAGAGAGAGAGAGAGAGAGAGAGAGAGAGAACAGAGGAAATACAGAAACTATTGACTTTTTTCTGCAGGGAAAGCTTAACTATTTGGTATGATAAATGAATTCAACAGGCCTTTCTTTGAAGTCAAAACAATTTTTACTTAGAACTTATTTTAATATAGACCTTTGGTTTTTGGAGTATGGGATGGTAGAAATTGTACTTTAAAGAAAATTTATGAAATGAGCACAATTTTTAGAAAATGTATGTGTTTTAACAAAGGTTACTGTTAGATGTCACCTCTATACTGAAGGCCAAGATGGGCTATGAGTGACTCTTGTCTGCACTTCATAATAATGAAACATTGTTCAATTACCTCGATAGTCATGCAAGACTCATTTCCATTTAATATCTTGTATCTACAAAAATTACACCATGATATTGCAGTCTTTACATGTTTTATGAAATATCTTTGGGAGGCATTTGATTGCCATTATTTTTATATTTACTTAATGAGAAAATTAAGGTGAAACCAAGTGTTTTACTTCAGAAACTTGTGCAATTGAGTACACTAAATCGCATTCACATTTTTGACAGAAAAGTATGTAATTCATCCAATGAAGTTTAAAGAAATAATTTATTAATATTATGATTATGAATAAATAAGAGAGCTTAAGCATCTATACTATTTTCCTAATATGAACAGCTACTCTAACAATTATAAATGACTGTGAAAGACCTTCACAAAGTCTAAAATGTTTAAAGGTTTTCATCAAATAATGATATCATGCATGTTCAAGAACAATCACCTATTATTATGAGAGTTTTTATCTGAGTAACAGACTTTGTAGTTTGAGGAATTTGTGATGTAATTTCTTCATTGTAAAGCTGCTTCACACACACACACACACACACACAAAATAAGCACTTTAATTTCTTCAAGACTGCATGCTTTTGTTTCTACACTTAAGGGAATGATCTATGACTTCAGAGTTTGGTGAGTAAGATGGTTTTCTGTCTGCACTGTAAACTTTAATTTCTTTAAAGTTAGGAGGTAGAGGTGCCTAAAGCTGTCATCACAGAGAGGTTAGTAGAGCACTCTGTAATCAGAGGCGTATGCTAAGAGCAGATGTGAGTGAGCTCCTTTCCATTAAATGTGTTTTGTCAGCTTATCGTGTCTTAGTTCCTTTTCAGCAGTAGCTTTCTTTAGAAGATAAGAGCAGGCCCTGACTGATGGCATCTACTATAGCACTGTTGAAATAGTTTGAAGAAGGCAATTGTTCCATTCGACTGTGACCAGGAATGCTATGACATATCTAGGTCTCATGAACATGTCTCACACTTGAGACTCACTAGGAACATGTCTCATACTTGAGACTCACTAGCATTCCAAGTGGAAGAAACTTAACAGTGAGCAGCAGAAGGCAGGAATCCTGAATAAGTCATCTTACTATCAAATAACTTCATACATTGTTAAAGCACGATCTTCCAACCTCAAATGGATGGGGCTACCTTGGAGTTGTGAGATGCTTAGAGGAGAATCTTGGACCTCAATATATTTACTTTGTTCACAAAACTGCTAAATATCCACTAAGAACCCAAATAAACTTTTATTGAGAAATGATGCTTAAGAAGAACCAGCCATCTTCCTTAACCAGAGGTGGCTCCCACAAAGTCTTTGACCCACAAACTGTCCTGCTTACAAGATGCCCTGCAGCCATGGTGGCTTAGAGCTTATGGGAGGGCCAACTCATGACTGTTCTCTCCTGATGCCCATATCACTAGAGGAAGTCCATGTTCAACATGGCCTACATGGCCAGGTTCCAGAAGCTGGATGACTCAGAGACCTAGGATAGAACCAAACATGATTGACAGAAAACAAGTCAATGAAATGATTCCTAATTCTTTTCTGCTATACTCATAGATCAGTGTCTAGCCTCACCATCATTAGAGAGGCTTCCTCCAGCAGCTGATGGGAGCAGATACAGAGACCCATAGCCAAATGTTAGGCAGAGCTTGGGGAAACACCGAAGAGGGAGAAGAAGGATTGTAGAAGCCAGAGGTGTCGAGGACATCAGGAGAACACAACCCACAGAATCAACTAAGTAGGTCTCAGAGAGGCTGACAGAGACTGAGACGGCAGTCAGGCAGCATGCATGGGTCTGGACCAGGCCCTCTGCATACATGCTGGGTTCTTTAGCTTGGGGATTTTGTTGGACTCTAGCAATGGGAGTGAGGGTATCTCTGACTTTTGTGTCTGCTCATGGTACCTGTTTCCTGGGGTTGCCTCATCCAACTTTGATACAATGGTTTATGGCTAGTCTTCTTGCAAATTGTTCTGCCATGTTCAATTGATGTACCTGGGTGACGTGATCTTTTCTGAAGGGAAATGGAGGAGGAGTGGTTCTAGGGGAGATAAAAGAGGGGGATTAGGAGGAAGGGAGGCTGAGATTGGATGTATTGTATGAGAGAAGAATAAATTTTGAAAAGGAAGAATTAAGTCTCAAGCAGTGATTAAAAGGTGCAATATTAACAAAGAAACATCTTTCCACCATATACTATTACTGAAAAAGGCAGAGAATTCCTCCCCTTAGTGGTCAGCCAAGTCCTGATCCTAGAAATGTAAGCGAGCAGCTTCAAGCTCAGCTGCGACAGCCCAGCATCTCCAACCATTGTTCCCTCCCTTTCATGAGCCAAGATCATCCCTTCCCTTTCTTGCTTCTGCTAAAGTACTGTTTAACAGTGATCAGAAGACTGATATAGGAAGTGAGCTAGCTCAGATGTTTAGGAGTTTGGGGTTTAGGGTAGCAAATTTCCTGGGTTTCCTTTCACAGCCTAAGTTCTACTGCCTCCACATGGAAGAGGTCTGTAGCTTGGAACCCTCAGCAAGCACAGGCAACTAAATGTCAGCAAGGTCTGATCTCTTTGTCAAGGGACCAAGAGTTGGTACATTCAACAGAGATCTAGTGGGACCCCACAATACCTGCTGCATAAACTAGGCTGGCGTGTGGTCCTTTTTCTTGGGATCTGCTCATAACAGCTCTCAGCTGATGGATGGGAAAACAATGGGATGTCTTGCTGTGTGAAGACTGAACAGATCCACGTAACTAATATTGGGGAAAGGGGATCTAGATATTTATTTAGAGAGAGCAATCATTTACACGAAAAGCCGGGTCAGCGATCTCCGAACCCAGTCCAGGATCCAAAAGAGCAAATGCCCCCTCCTCTACCATCCCTTATCCCCTGAATCTTCCCACTTACCCGTGACCAAGGGGGCGTGGTCAGCCACAGGTACGTGATCTCTCACTACAACTGTGGAGTATAAATTAGCAAAGAATAAATAGATATGACTCATACATGCAACTTACATGGATTTTAAGGAACTTCGTAGTGCAACAAAGAAGTAAATATCAATATGATGTATATCATGGCTTAGAGATGTAAATTTGGCAGTAAAGGGTAATATGCAGGATCTTGTGTCATAACAGTTAAACACGAATGAAAACATGATGGATTACATGATTATGAGCACACAATTGAGTGCCTGAATAATCTATGAAATGTGAATAATTCAAACTTCCATAATGACTATTTTATTGTCTCAGTATCATGCCATAGTTATGAAAAATGATGATTCTTAGAGATACTGGGTGAAAGAATGAGATCTCATACATTTCATTACAACTTTAAGTGAATTTTTAATTATTTGAAACATACAAATTTTATTAAAAATTTATAGTGGTATATATCACTTGGGAGGCAAAGGCAGGCAGATCTTTGATTTTTGAGGTTAGTCTGGTTTATATTTTGAGTTAGCTAATTGGGGATATTCTGTAAGAACACCCCCACAAAAAAAGATGCAAGAATTACCAAGTGATCTTGTAAACACATGGTCATCTTTTGGATACCTGTAGATGAACATTTGTTGACTTGGCAAACTAGATATCACATATTTCTTCTCCTGGCCGAACAGGTAGAGCAGGCAGCCTTACTCTGACTTGTCTGCCTAGTGACCGATATTTTCAGATGCAGGTTTTTCTGAATATTTTTATCTATTAGACAAAACATTTTCATTCTAGGCATTCTTTATAGAACGCTCCGTCTGTCAGCCAGAGCATTCAGTTACTGAAGTATTAGGTGTTAATAAAATATAATAAAAGCAACTGATATTAATATCTAACCAAAGAAAGATGAGAAATAAGTTGTTTTGACCAGAAAGCTCTCAAAATATAACATCTTATATAAAATTGCCCCCTTTCTTACCCCTTTCTCCGTGTGTGTGTGTGTGTGTGTGTGTGTGTGTGTGTGTGTGTCTGTGTATGTGTGAGTGTGTAGAACCCAGGAACTCTCTTTCCTCCAACATCATTTCTTTAGCATGGGTCATCTCTTTATGCCTGCATTCATATTGGTGCATCTTTTGGATTCAATATTCACAAAACTTAGGGTTTTTTTTCTTAGTAGTTATAAATGAATTACACCCATGCTTCCGTGATTGTGCATGGGTTATTATTCAGTTTTAAAAGATAATATCTATCAAGGTATAACAGTTAGGCACAAATAAATTTAATATTTCATTGTGTCCATGTTGAAGCCCATGTGGAGTCTAACATGGCCTCACAGAAGCAGACATAGCTGTCAGCAGCAGTTACATCAGGGGAGATGAGAGATACAGGGTTGTGGTACAAAATGCAAGACTAAGTTATTGGAACTTAGCACACATGCTACTGTCGCAATAGATAGTAAGTGTGTGAAGTCAAAATGTGTTAAATGAGTAGAACTTGGAGATTTAACGCATACAATCACACAAGCACACACACACATGTACACAACACCATGGTAATCCTGTGAGGTATTGATTTCACCTGGATTGAAATGACTATTTTCGTAGTTTACACGTCTTTCACATCAAGTTTAAGCTTTCTTATTCTCTCTTCTATTCAACTCTTAATAGTCAGTTACATATCAATAAATCCAGAAGAAAAAATGTGTACTAGGACAAAGAAAACTGGTTTCTGAGTTTTGACACTCTGCACTGAGGGACTTCATCATAATAGCTCCTGAGCTAATGGAAGGTAGGTGAGTGTGGAGATCCAATTAGGATAAGTGGAATTTCGTGTGTGCGTTTGGGAGAGAAAGCTGTTGGGTAAGTGGAGAAAAGGCTGTCAGTGAGCCACCACTCCTCTGCCCTTCCTTGGTCATCTCCTCCTTCCTGTCTGTGCAGCACTTAGCGTAATGGACTGTGGGTAGAGACTCTTCAAGCAGAGTCCACCAGTATGCGTGCCAGTGGAGGTGTGCAATGTGTGTCAGGGGAATGCCAAGCCCTGACTCCTGAGTGAGTAGAGGTATAGCGGTGCCTTTGCAAATGTGCTTCCCGTCACACTCACTGGGCGGAAAGCAAATCTCGAAGTCATATCAAACTTTGAAAAGTTTAAAAGGACGTTTAACTGTCCACTGTTAGTGAGTGCTTTGAAGACAAGAAGGGGAGGATGAATAAGGAGGGGCAGATAGTGTGTCCCACTGACATCCAGCTACACGTGTTTCTTTTGCAGCTACTGGGAAAAGCTCACATTCAAGGTACAGCATTTCGGCCTTGTACATTTTTTGTTTGGCCATTCACAGAAGAACCACTCAATATTTGTTACTAATTTAATCGATATATTTCATGTTGCCGTAATGAAAGCCCAAGATAAACCGGTGGTGTTTTTAGGGTTGTTAGTGTGGCTCAGGCAGCCCACATGGCAAGCTTCTTCACTTCTTCCTTCCTCTCTGACTGTTCAATTAAAGTTGAAATTCTGTGTTCAATCTTGGAGTAAAACTGCTTCCTTTGTCATATATTTTTAATTAATATCCATTTCTGAGAAAAGTGCAAAATAAGAAATTCACCATATTTTATAGAATTGACATAAATGGAAGCTCACCAAATGCTATCTACTTTGGCATTGCCAGGTACGAGGGACTCAAACATAAGATGATGTTTGCCAAACCCTTCTCCTTTCTCACTTAAGACTGCAGCTCCTAGGCTGAGGGAATAGTTAGTTAGTAAACTGTTTGCCATGCAAGCATTAGGACCTGAGTTCAATCCCCTAGGACCCATATAAAAATCTAGATAAGGCAGCAGGCACTTGTCATTCAAGAACCTGTGAGGATGCAGCGGGAGGATATCCTGGGTTGCAGGTGAAGATCTCACTGACCACACCTGTTTGGGCATGGTCACGGGTACATGGGGGAGGTAGAGATTGAGGTCAAGGAAGGAGGGGAACTTGCTCTCTCTTGGGGTGCCGGTGGAGGTCAGAGACCAGCAGAGCACTGACTTCAGTTCTCGGTTTCTCAAGTAAGTGGCTTCTCTCTAATAACGTATCATACCACTTCCCTTCCCTGAATACTTGGTGTGGCTTGGTATTCCTCATCTTAGAGTTCCCTGGCTAGCTGCTCTAAATGAATCACTGAGTCACTGAGGAGATTCTGCTTCGGACACATATATTACCCATTTGACCAAAGTACATAAAGTATGATGATGGTGCAATGAATATTTTATATAATGAAAGTCTTAAAATTTTAGCAAAGTCTTGTATGTACTAAATGAGAAAGATAAAGAGAAAGTTACATCGTCTAATTGTTCTGTGTTTCACTGGCTTTCTCACCATGATCACATGACTTTTGTTTATATCAGTTCCAAGAGTCAGTCAGGACCGATCCATCACTAGCTACCCATGGTAAGCTTTCTTGCTTTTATAAGCATCAAAATTGCATCATACAAAATGACTGTGAAAGATGGTCATCCTTGCAGAAGAAACTCATCCAGTTTACATTACATACTCTGATTATTGATGCAGTGACCACAACCTCTGGATCTCTGGTTATTTGTAAAATGTTATGTTTGCTTGCACAGTGTATTCCATGAAACTACAATGTAATACTGCCTCACAAACCTCACAAAACTTTCCCATCACTGGACAGAAGCTATATCACTAATTTCTCCCATTAGATATAAAAATGTATGAACAAAATGCCAATAAATATTTTTACCAAAATAATTTGATACCACTATTTTACATGTAGCTTCCAAAGTTTCAATGGTATTTATTTATAACATATTTAGATATAATAATTATTGGTATTACAGTTTCAGTACAAAAAATTAAAAGTTTTAAAAACCTAGCTAAAGATTTATGCAGTTTTCTCTTTTAATGTTAATTTGTGAACTGCTACCTTACATATATATAACATACATAGATATAATTATAGTTATTGCCATCACATTTTGTTCTTATGGTTCAAATTTCATTAAAACTTTCTTCTTTAAAGGTGTCATTTGTGTTTTAACATTTTATGAAATATAATAAACCTGCTGAAATTTTGTTTCTATGAAGTTGTTGTTACAACATTGTGAAATATAAATCTTAATATTGTATATTGTGAAATATGCCAAGTCCATATTTACAATAAACACATTAATTCAGATCAAAAAGAAGCTTTGAAAGTATAGATATTGAGGGTCAGTGATCACATTTGCCAGGGTCTAACAGATCAGTAGTATCCTTGCTTTTGTATTTGAAGTTCAACCCCCAATATAGTATCTTAGAAAACAGAATTTTGAAATCTTTTGCACATTTTATCTTGATTTCCCCATTATAAATCCTCAAGCTTGTGCAATAATGGTATGAATACACAACATGCTTGTTTTATATTATAAGTATTTTTATTATTTAATATAAAAGAGCCTATTGGTCAGTTTAAAAGGAAACAAACTCATTATAGTATGGCTTACAAATTCAGTTTCTCTGGAGAACATTACTGACACGGACTCTGCTTACTAAACAGATACAGAGGAAAGTATTTAAAGAGTAACTTCTCTGAAGTAATTTTGGAATTTTTAGGACTTTTTGGTGGTTTGAATGAGATGCCCCCATATTATGGGCATTTGAATAATTGGTGCCCTGTTGGCTTTTGAGGGTATGGGATACTGTGTCAATGAATGTCTATTTGCACCAGTGAGAATATATTGATGTTAGGTGGTTTAATCTGATTCCTTCTTTTTTTATTATTTATTTTTTAAGTTTAAATTTAGATTAGAAACAAGGTTGCTTCACAAGTCAGTTCCAGGTCCCTCTCCGTTTCCCTCCCCTCCTCCCGTGCCTTCCTCCCAACCGCTCCCAATATCCTCTCATTTCCCCAGGGAGGGTGAGGCCCTCCATGGGGGTATCCAAAGTCTGTCATTTCATCCAGAATGCCTGCCTTTTCAAAAGAAAAAATATGTGAGAGAGAAATGTAATATTCTCCTTCCAGACAAGAGTCATTGGAGACTCAG